AAAGAGTTTTGCATCTTGAAGCGTTTGTAATACTATTTTCATATATTTCTTGTATTCTTCAAGTATTCGAGAATAGATAAGAATGTTATTGAGATAGGTAATGATGAACTGATTCAGATGCTTGTATAGAATATAATTGATTATTTCCTGGAATGAAGCTAGAGCATTTATTAAACTAAAGAGTATAATCAAATATTCGTAATATTCGTAGCATGTTCTAAAAGCAGTTTTCCATTCCTTTTCTTTCTTTATTCTGATTAGATTATAAGCTCTTTTTAGATTTAGAGCTGTAAACTATTATACTTCTTGCAATCTATCTCGTAGTTCCTTAATAAGTAGTAATAAATATTAGTTCTTGATTATAATATTATTAAGTTGCTTATAATTAATATATAGCCTAAGCTTGCTGTTTTTCTTAGATACAAACAGAATAAGATATTCTGCTAATAATTATAATAATTATATATATTCCTTCTTAAAGTTCTTATCGAAATACTCTCTGAGTATTTCTAATTATACTTAATTTAGTTTATAGATAAGGAAGAATTTGAGCTATTTCTCTTCTTGTAGCAGGATCTTATGATTATATAAGCTATATTTTAGCAATTCTATATTCAATTCTTTCTGAAATAGTTTCTTAAACTTATGATATTCTTGTAGTATATTTGCAAGTATTGATTCTGATCTATATACTGTTTCTGCTATCTGGAGAAATAGTAGGTATTGTTAAGCGTGCTTCTTTTTATTCGTTGTTTTTGGTAATGTTTTTGAAAGCTTTGAGCGTTTGCTCCAAGCTGAACTGAGCGCTCAAAAGCTTGATTTCGAAGTTTTTCCTGTATAAGTTTACAATTCACTTTCTAAAGCTTATTCTTGTTGCTTTGGAGCGAATTAATATACTGAGAGTTTTGCTTGCATTATTTTATTAATCTGCTAGCGCTCTAGCATTATTTAGATTTACTTATTACTAGATTTTTTTCCTTAAACTGCCAGCTCTGCTAACTTGAAGATATACGTGAAGTTGTGTGAAGCTTCTTTTTCTGAGTATTCTTCAATTACTAGCTTCAATTCTGTGCTGTTGATTGTAACTATCTCTCTGGATACAGCTTATTCTCATGAGATCTAGCTAGTAGTTCAATTGATTTGAGGATTATACTTCTTGAGCTATGAAAGTCTTACAATCAGCTTATGCTATGCTATATTCATAATATTAAAGAAAGCTCTGATTATATATTCTTGGATTAAGATAAATAGATAATCAGTTTTCTTATTAATTACTTCTTAGTTGTATGTAATAGATTGTTCTTTTATGATGCTGAGAGTATATAAGCATTTCTTTCATCTCTATTGTAGTTATGCTTAATTGATGATGTATGAAGATATGAAGTTTCTTTGAGCGCTACTGTTTAATAGTGTGCTGTATTTGTATTTTTGAATGTATATATTAAACTTAATATAAGTATAATCTGTTCTAGAAGCTTTATATAGGAACTGTTTTAGTCTGATTATCTGCAATTTCTTTATAAGCAATCTTATTCTTTTAAGTTTACTAAGAACTGCTTATTCTTCTAAGCTTGCTTTGCTGCTTCTTAAGCAAGCTTTTTAGCTTACTTTTGCTTATATTGTTATTATTTCTGATTTTTCTTCTATTAATACTAGTTGCAAATCTTATTATTGATGTAAATTGTACAGAATATCATTTTGTACTACTATTATTTTATCTTCTTATTTATATATTGCATAAGATAGTTATCTAATAGCTCGATATATATATTGTAATGCTATCTATTAAGAACTTCTCTGAAGCGGAATTTCTTTTTCTTAATAGTCTAAAGGATTTATTCTAGTTTTCTAATGGGAAACTATTCGTATTATACCTTTTCCGAGAAATGCATTCTGCAGCTATAATAAATGCAGAAGATTCAAGCTAATTCGTAGTATAGATTATGAAGTAAGCTGATTCAAGAATTCTTATCTTTTCATGCTTCAATATTCTGCAAGGGGATGCAGATGAAGAGCTTCTCTAATCCTATCCTATAAACAAGATATTCAATCTATATTATTTCCTTGTTTCATTCAATGCTAAAGAAGAATCTTTCTATAAGCTTCTTAGATTCATTGTTTATAAGAGATTCTGATGAACTGTTGAATCGCTTATTCTAGCTTAGTCTTTCTATTGCTTGAAAAGCGTTTTCGGTATTATTTAGATACTTATACTAATAACTAAGAAAGTATTATTTCTTATTCATATCTCTGATTATAATACTTAGTATAAATAATGAAGAATAATGAAGAGTATTATTGCTAAGCTCTTCTTTCAACGTCTGAATACTCTGTTCTGCAATATTAGAGCAGTTCGGATTGCTACTTGTGAGGATGCTAAGCATGCATTCTCGTTCTGCTATTATTATTTGCTTGCAGCGCCTAGATTTCTAAGGAAATCATTCTGAATCTTCCTTACTCGAGAAATGTATTAAGCAGTTATTATTATAGCAGAATATTTAGCTGAAACTTCTATAATTAATAGAGTCTGATACTTGCTCTAAGGGAGTATTTTTGCTTAGTTGATTAGATTTCTATTGCTAAGCAATATTTATCTAGTATTCTTTCTAAACTAATTGCTATTTATTCTTTCAGAATTAATAGCAGTTGCATATAATGTATTCTTATTTGTTGCAGTTATAGCAAGTAATGCTATTCTTTTTGCTATACTGCTTATTAGCAGCATTAAGTTTCATGGAATCAGTATGCATAGTGCTGCTCTGAGCTGTACTGCTATATTGATTGCTATTCTTATTTTAGAGTTTCTTGCTTATATTAGCTGGAAATCTCCAAATCTAGCTTTCTTCCTTCTTGAACTTCTTTATTCATTATTCATATAGATAATTATTAATGCGAATAGCTTAATTAGAGAATATTGCAAAATTCTCCAGCTAATTCTGCTTAGAGATTTTATCTTTAATATCGTTCTTAAGTTTCTTGTAATAATATTTCATAAGATTCTTATTTTTTTATAAGAGTTGTGCTAAGAATTATTTGAATCTAATTATATAAGCAGAAGCTGATTTAGTCTATTTGAGATTTATAAGCTGCTAAGCTATAATGCATTCTTTGTTGAGATTATTAAAGGTTTTTTTAAGAGCTTTCTTAAAGCTTTTAAAGAAATTGAATATATTCTTAGTATTCTGAGTATGTATATTGGAATTGTTCTGATGCTTTAAGTGATTGTATAGAGAAGATTTGTACTAAATAAGAGTATTCTTTTCGAAATAAGTTTCTATAAGAATAATCTTTTTAGATTTCTTAGTAAACTAAGTTTTGTAATACAGAAAATATGCTCTGCAGTAGATAAGGAATTTATGCAGCATCTTTTGATTGCTGTTATATATAACAAGCTTATTCATCTTATATACTTTTTCAGCGCTATTAGTAATTGCAGAGATAAACTGTGCTTGTTAAGCTTATTAAGCTAGCTAAGCTTATTAGTTAGCAATAATAGCGCTCTAAGCTTGCTATTATTCGCACAGATTCTAGATATGCTAAATAAGCTGATATATCTAATTAATCAGTTCTTCCTGAGTAGAAGTATATAAGAATGAAGGAGTTTCTAGGAAAGCTATCGTATTCCGTATTGCTCAAGAGGGTAATACTGAACTGTTCTTGAATAAGAGTTATCAAAATATAATAAGCACTGCAGCAATCTGAAGATTCCAAAGTATATAAAGAGAGTTTATGCTAATAAGAGCGGTATTAAAATGCTAAATTCTTGAATACGGAACTGTATAAGTCTTAATAAGCAATGCAAGTATTTACTATTTTTGGAGCTATTAGAGTAGAGAGTAATCTGATACTTAGATTGATAACTGAAGAGCTATATACGAGATTTATCTAATGGGAATGAATGTATTCTTATATATTCAGCTCTTTAGTTCTGTTAGTAGTATTAGTTGTTGGATTTCTTGGATTATCTGAGTGATCCAACTGATTCGGATTACCATGGATCAGCTACTGATTCATCCTGATCCTGTAATCCTAACTCTTGCTTATATAAGCCTTAGTCCTTAAGATGTTGAATCCTTGTCTTTCCGGACAGTTGTTCCGGGTGTTCTGGCTGGTGACCTGCATGTTGGATGAGTTATAACAATACTCTTGAAAACAGAAAATACTCAAATCTACTGCTTGCTTACTCTGCTCTCTCGCTTGAATAGCAAAGAATATACTCTCGAAAATAGAAAATACTCAGATCTACTGCTTACTTACTCTGCTCTCTTGCTCGAATAGCAAAGAATATACTCTCGAAAACAGAAGATACTTAGATCTACTGCTTGCTTATTCTGCTCTCTCGCTCGAATAGCAAAAGATATACTCTCGAAAACAGAAAATACTCAGATCTGCTGCTTGCTTACTCTGCTCTCTTGCTCGAATAGCAAAGAGTATACTTTATTCTAGCTTAGCAACTTGAATATTCTAAATCTCTTCTAAATACTTCTTATATACTGCTTGTATACTGCTTGCTTGCTGTTTGCTTTAGCTTAGCAACTCAAATGCTCTGAATCTCTTCTAAATACTTCTTATATACTGCTTGCATACTGCTTACTTGCTATTTGCTCTAGCTTAGCAACTTGAATGCTCTAAATCTCTTCTAAATGCTTCTTGTATGCTGCTTATATACTGCTTGCTTGCTATTTGCTCTAGCTTAGCAACTCGAATGCTCTAAATCTCTTCTGAATGCTTCTTATATGCTGCTTGCATACTGCTTGCTCGCTATTTACTTTAGCTTAGCAACTCGAATGCTCTAAATCTCTTCTGAATACTTCTTGCATACTGCTTGCATACTGCTTGCTTGCTATTTGCTCTAGCTTAGCAACTCGAATGCTCTAAATCTCTTCTAAATGCTTCTTACATGCTGCTTGCATACTGCTTATTCGCTGTTTGCTCTAGCTTAGCAACTCGAATGCTCTGAATCTCTTCTGAATGCTTCTTGCATACTGCTTGCATACTGCTTGCTTGCTGTTTGCTCTAGCTTAGCAACTCGAATGCTCTGAATCTCTTCTGAACGCTTCTTGCATGCTGCTTGCATACTGCTTGCTCAATACTGCTTGCTTGCTGTATGCTTTAGCTTAGCAACTCGAATACTCTGAATCTCTTCTGAATGCTTCTTGCATGCTGCTTGCATACTGCTTGCTTAATACTGCTTGCTCGCTGTATTCAAGGCTTGAAAGCTCGAAAATCGAAGGCTCGAAGATTAAAAGCTTGAAGATTAAAAGCTCGAAGATTCGAAAAGAATAGTAGTCTGATCGTTTGCTCTGCTTCTGCTCAGTATTAGCGCTGCTTCTAGGGAAAAAAAAAGATAGAAAGCCTCGCCGGATTGCTTCCTTTAAAAGAGCCAGATCTCAAACTATCAGATGGAAAGGTTGCAAAGGCAATATAATGAGGTCTTTTCTCTCTTTCAGAGGTATACAATCAGAATAACATTGAGGCCTAAGGAGCTAAGTTCTGCTCAGCAGTGCTGATGTGGCTAGAAAGCTGCTTTATAGCTGCATATTGCTTAGTCATCCGTAATCCAGCTGGCTTAGCTGGCCCTAATCCTTGCTGGCACAATCGGCTCTGACAAAGAAGCTTAGCATTTAGAATAGCAGCCTTCTTCTCAGTAGCTTCTATCTCAGCTTTCAAGCAGCAATGCTAAGCAGTTATTCAGTTTAGTTAAGCAGAAGTTAAGCTATGAATATTACAATTCAATAAGTTAAGCTGAATGCATTTATGTAATAAGCACTGCAGCAATCCGAAGATTCCAAAGTATATAAGGAGTTTATGCTAATAAGAGCGATATCAAAATATCAAGTTCTTAAATACGAAACTATACAAGTCTTGATAAGCAATGCAAGTATTCACTGCCTTTGAAGCTATTCAGTATATAAGACTGAATACTTAGATTAATAACTAAAGAGCTATATACTGAAGCTATTTAATGATAATGATTGTATGATTATATATTCAGCTCTTCAGTATGAATTGCTGGGATTGCTAGCGAATCTAGCGATTCAAGATGTAAAGCTTGCTAGAATCGCTAGCAAGTTTAGCAATCCGAGGTATAAAGCTTGCTGGGATTGCTAACGAGTCTAGCAATTCTCTTTTCTTTATAATTCTAATCCTGGATTATATAATTAATGCTTTGTTAGAATATTAAGTTCTTAATATCTAGTTCTTATTACTTATAATCTATTTTATAATCTGCATGTTGAATAGATTATAATATTATCTTTTTTCTATTAGTTGTTATTCTTAACAATCTTCTATAAGTATTCTAGCAAGTTTTCTATATATATAATCTTGCTTTTCTAATCGAGATGAATAATAAAGTTGCAAAACTAAAATCTTCGAATTCTTATTCTAATAAGAAGAAGCAGAAAAGCTTTCTTCTTCAGTTTATTCTTTCAAACAGTCTTGATATGCATCTCTGTTTCTATTGCGATGATTAGGGTTTGAAGTTGTGTATTGTTTCTTCTTATAATTCATTCTGTTATTCGGAGTATATTTCTCAGAATTGTACTAAGTATGATATTCTGAAACTAATGAATGCTACTGAATTTCTTCTTATTTCTACTTAATATCAAAAACTGAAAAATAAGATAGAAGAGTTAAAGCTAAAGTTGATTAAGCTGTGCTAATAAAAGAAGATGTGATATGAAAGAATGTTTCAGGCTATCTGTTGAGATCTTAAGAATCTTGAAGAGCTTGAGAAGAAGAAAGCTGAGAAGGCTAAAGCTAAGAGAGTATATATTGCTGCTGAAGTATAAGCTATGATAATTGAAGAATCTTGTTATAACTCATCCAACATGCAGATCACAGGATAAGCTCCACCAACCAAGGAACCAGGTATCACAACCCAACGTCGGATACCAATCAGGATTACATAATCCAGGTTAGAATTGCTAGCGCAGCTATGTTGACTATGAACATAGTCAACATATTTAAGAAACAACTATGAGAAATTGAAACATAGTTGGGATAGTCAGAACTGAAGAGCTGGATATATAAGAGCACATTCATTATCATTAGATAGATTCAGTATATAGCTCTTCAGTTGTTAATCTAAGTATTTAGTTTCATATACTGAGTAGCTCCAAAAGCAGTGAATACTTGCATTGCTTATTAGAACTTGTACAGTTCCGTATTCAAGAACTTGATACTTTAATACTGCTCTTGTTAGCATAAATCTCTTCATATACTTAGGAATCTTCGGATTGCTGCAGTACTCATTACATTTTGATAATTCTTGTTCAAGAACGGTTCAGTATTATCTTCTTGAGTAATATGGAATATGATAGCTTTTCCAGGAATCTCTTTGTTCTTGTATGCTCTTATTCAGAAAGAACTGATTAATCAGATATACTAGCTTACTTAGTATATTCAGAATCTGTGCAAATAACAGCAAGCTTAAAACGCTACTATTGCTAACTAATAAGCTTAGCTGGCTTAATAAGCTTAATAGATGCAGTTTATCTCTATAGCTATTAATAGTGCTGAAAAGGCATATAAGATGAATAAGCTTGCTATGTATAATAGCAATTAGAAAATGCTGCATAAATTCCTTACTCACTGCAAGGCATATTTCTTGCATTATGCAACTCAGTTTATTATGAAATCTAAAAAGATTATTCTTGCAGGAACTTATCTCGAAAAAGATGCTTTTATTTAATATAAGCCTTCTCTGTACAACTACTTGGAGCATTAGAATAATTCTAATATATATATTCAGAGTATTAAGAATATATTTAATTTCTTTGAAAGCTTTAAGAAAGCTTTCAAAGAAATCTTTAATAATTCTAATAAAGAATATATTACAGCTTAGCAGCTTATAAATCTTAAGCAGACTAAATCAGCTTCTGCTTATATAATCAGATTCAAGCAATTCTTAGCGCAACTTCCGTAGAAAGATAAGAATCTTATAGAGTATTATTATAAGAGACTCAAGGATAATATTAAAGATGAAATCTTCAAGCAGGATTGGCTGAAAGACTTTGCAATATTCTCTAATCAAGCTATCTGCATTAACAACTGTCTATATGAATGATAGATAGAGAAGTTCAAGAAAGGAGGAAGCTAGACTTGGAGGTTTCCGGCTAATACGAGCAAGAAATTCCAAAACAAGAATAGTAGTTAATATGGCAGTATAGCTTAGAGCAGTATTATACATGCTGGTTCTATGGAACTCGATGCAGCTAATAAGCAGTATAGCAAGAGGAATAGTATTATTTGCTATAACTGCAATAAACAAGAATACATTATATGCAACTGCTATTAATTCCGGAAGAACAAATAGCAATCAGTTTAGGAAGAATGCTAAGTGAATGTTGCTCAGCAACAGGAATCCAATCAACTGAGCAAAACCCCCTCGGAGCAAGTATTGAACTCTGTTGATTACAGAAGTCTCAGCTGAATATTCTGCTACAATAATAACTGCTTAATATATCTCTCAAGTAAGGAAGGTTCAGGATGGTTTCCTCAGAAACCTAGGCGCTACAAGCAGATAGCGATAGTGAACCAGAACTAGGGCGCTGTCGCCCTCGAAAGAAAAAGGGACAAACAGCTGCTGAAGCAATGAGCAAGGGCTTATGCAATCCAAGCATGCCTATGCAGATGAGAACAGCAAACTAAGGCTACACGGGCACAAGAACAGGGTGAAAAACCTGTCTTAGACCTATTCAAAGGATTCAAAATTGAAAAGAAGAGAAAGAATGCTTCATTATTGCTTATAGCTAAAGAATTTGAAAAGTAGGTGGTATTCTTTATATGTATGAGAATCCTTGATCCACTATACTCCATGTTCTACAAACTACTACTCTAGCCACTACAACAGTTCTTCTCTAGCAACTTTCTTCCAAAGTTGCAACAAGTTCAATAGTATGCTAGATTTGATCAGAAGAAGATGAAGTAAAGAAATAAAGAATTTATTACAAACTGCTAAAGGAAATACTACAAACCAAACTATCTTTCCAATTCAATCCTTATACTTTTTCCTATTGCTTAAGCTATTATTCAAATCAATGCAGAAGTATTAGTATTTATCTTTAGTTCATTTATAATATAAGCATAATCTGGATAGATCCTAATACTAATCTCTTCTTTGTTTCTATCTGCTCTCAAACTCTGCTCAAGTAGCAGCAGCAGCAGCAGTTCTCTCCTAATTCTGTATTCTTACTTAACAGATTCTTTTGCAGTTCGCTTCATATATATTCATCTTAATAGCATAATCGAACTCTATTCAGTTCGGAGAACTTACTAAGAGCTTGATAGGATTAAGGCTATAAAGCTTATTTTATAAAAGTATACAAAGCTTCTGAGATTTATTAGGAAAACTGAGAAGCATAATATTGCTGCTTCTTAGTTTCTGATGCAATAGAGCTTCAGTAGCATGTTCAGGCTTAGCTGTTTGCTGCATTAATAGATTAATTGTTAGTTCTGAATTAACAGACATTTCTCGAGATGAAGAGAAGTAAGGATCAGTAGAAATTCTGAATGGGAATCAACTTAATTCTGAGCTGATACTACATTCTCTTGATAAATGCAAGATTGGGCTAGCTGAAGCTGTACTCTTTTGAAATTGTTATCTTAATGGAACTAGGCTGGATGCTCTACTCGCTCTGAAATTCTCTAGAGCAAAGGCTGATATATCCTTTCTTATTCTGTTGAGATTGCTTTCAATAAACAGTTTAAGCAAGTTTGCAACTTTTTCTATAAAGAAAGTAATATTTAGCTTATAGATTATATTCAGTATTCTACTAGCTTCTACTTATATAGCTTTGTATTCTTGAAGTAAAGCATTTCTTTTTAATAGCTAATCAGGATATCATATATAGTTGCTATATTCTAGCTTATAAGAAAAAGCTTAGTAGTATAAGCTTATTATAGCTATCTCTGCACTTCATTTTTTCACATTTTGTATAATCTCTCTATAATTAAGATAAAGAGCTTGCTTCCAGTCTAAACAATTACTAGATGATTGATAGAAATCAGTAGATTTCAGAATTCGAAAGCAAAATAGTTCGATTGTATAGAGCAGAGCTATATTCGAATCATTATCCAGCAGCATAGTTGGAACATTCTCGAAATCTCAACCTTGATTAGCTTCAGCACTTCTGAGCTAA